CTGACTGCTCACTGACCACAACACATCCAGCTGAGTTATCGACTCCTGCAATTAAAAGCCGAAACAAAGATCACGCTTAAAAAAAAAAAAAAAAGGGCCGGGTGACTATTTCAGTGTAAGGACGCAAATCAGATAATGAGGATTTTGTTGACTTTAGAGATGTTTCAATTGATTAATTAATGATTTAAATAGTACCTATAGTAAGATTTGTTATTTACACTTTATAAGTGAATGTACTGGCATAGTGGCTTAGTGGTTTGAACGTTTGCCTTGTACCTCCATGATTACTCCGATTGCCTCCCCAGTCCAAAGACATATGTTGTAGGCTGATTGGCATTTCCAAAACTGTCCATAGTGTGTGTGTGTGTGTGTGTGTGTGTGTGTGTGTGTGTGTGAGTGTGTGTGTGTGTGTGTGTGTGTGTGAGTGTGATTTAGCCCTGTGATGGGTTGGTACCCCATGCAGGGTGTCCCTTGCCTTGTGCCCCGAGTGCCCTGGGATAAGCTCCAGGCTCCCCAGCGACCCCGTGTAAGTGGTACAGTGGTACAGAATATGGATGGATAAGTGGTACAGAAAATGGATGGAAGGATGGACGAGAATATACCTATTAATGATGTTTTTGTTGAAATGTTTTTCTTTATTTAAGACTGAAGCATTTATTACAAACTGGGAGCATTTTCTGTGTTTGACATTTTCATTTTATACATGAAACGATCTTTAAGCATTTTCCCCTTCATAACATAAACAGTAGACAGCAAAAATCTCACCGTTCAATAAACTACTTATGGTGTTTAAATCCAAAAGAGCCAAATGAACTAAAAAAAAAAAACAAACAAACAAAGATTGAAATGGAAGAGCACACTCCTGAAAGAATTCAGACCAATCCCGTCTGCTCCTGAAGGAATTCTGGTCAATCCGGAACACTCCAAAAGGAACTCTGGTCGATCCTTCAAGCTCCTGAAAGATTTCTGACGAATCCACTGTACTCCTGAACAACTTCTGAACAATATTACTTACACCTGAAGGAATTCTGATCAATCCCACCTACTCACGAAGGAATTCAGCCCACCCCTTAAAGAGTTCTGATCAATCCTGTACTTCCACGGAATATTTTCTGTCAAATTTTGTTTATTATATTTCCCAAATTGTAAACACATTATCAATATAAACCACTGTGGCCCAGAGAAGTACAGAGCAGTAACTGAAAATAAGTTTAAAAAAAAGTGTAGTTCAGTGGCACACAAGCACCAAATACGCTCCCATATGAATGATCTTGGAGTTACTTTGTCCTGTGAGCTTCATACCTGAGCACCTGATTCCACCCATATGAAAGTAAAAATTTCTTGCTCCGATCATTGCTGGGTCCCACTTGATCGAAACTCTTTCTCACTGGTTTACAATATAACTAAATAAATGAATGAATAAATAAATAAATAAACACATAAATACATAAATACATCTGACTGCCCATTGACCACAACACATCCACTCCTGTAATTAAAATCCAAATTCTAATTTTATTTGTCTCACACACAACCATACACAATATGATTTTTAGTGAAATGCGTTTAACCAGTGTCTGTGACATGAAATAGAATTTACATAGATAAAGTGCAGATATCTGCTTTAAATTGTGGGATATAATGCTGTGCAACATTTGGTTGAGGTAGTTTTTTTGAAGCTGAAACTGCCCACATATATGATAACTATTTATAAATACAGCATAATACAGGATAAAGAGGCTACTAGTAATGAATGAAGAGAATATGAAGAGTTGTGCTTAAAAAGTTTGCATACCCCTTGCAGAATCTGCTAAACCTTAATACTGTTAACAAAATGATCATAAAAATTCCCATGTTGTTTTTTTATTGACAGTACTGTACTGAATTCACATAACTGATGTTTACATAATAGCTGAATATAGAAAAAATAAGCCCGCTCAAAAGTTTACACACCCTTGATTATTAATACTGTGTGTCGTTACCTGGATGATCCACGACCGTTTTTATGTTTTGTGATAGTTGTTCCCTTGAGTCCCTTGTTTGTCCTGAGCAGTTTAACTACCCACTGTTCTTCAGAAAAATCCTCCAGGTTCGGCACATTCTTTGCTTTTCAAGCATCTTCTGCATATTTGACCCCTTTCTAACAATCGCTATATGATGTCGAGATCCATGTCGAGGACAACTAAGGGACTTGTACATGACTATTACAAAAGGCGCAAACATTCACTGATGTTCAAGAAGGTAACACGATACATTAAGAGCCAGGGGGGTGTAAACTTTTGAATAGGTTGATCGGTGTAAATTGTATTTGTGTGTCTGAAGGGTAAATGTAAATCAAAAATCTGTAAACAAAATAATAGCAATTTACACCGATCATTCACTCTGTAATTAGACTCAAATTTAAAAGTTTTTTATTATTATTATTATTATTAATGAATTATTTAAAAATAAATAAATAAATCTAAACTAACAAGTTTAGCTCAGTTTTTCGTTATGCACTAAACAGAAAAAAATATGTAGAACTCAAACATGAAATGAACCTAACAATCGTAATAGATATACTCAAATAGCATAATTTCTCCTGAGTATATTTAATCATATATTTATATTTTTGTGATTATTCTCCCAAAATATATACAGCATGAATATCTGAAATCATAGATGCTCACTCGTTTCTGTACTTTAAGTAGTTTTCTTCTTTTATTTGGTGGTCAGTTATATTGCTCCACTTCGTCCATGTAGGTCACATGTCACTCAGTTTGAACCTTTTGTTCCTTCAAACAGTGCACTAAAGCGAGCTCTATTTTAACCTCTCCACCCTAACAGATGCCCACATGCTTTGTCTTCCATCAGCACAGAGGTAAAATTGCACCTAAGAGGCTCTTCAAGTGATGCACCAGGACTGAGGACTGAGGTGACCTTACAAACATGTAGCCTGGCTTCCACTGATGTGAATGTAATATTGACATCAGAATTAAGATTTTTGGATATAAGTAAGACATTACTAAGATATTACTTAAGAAATAAAGCGATACGTTATAATAACACATATACGACGCTAACCGAACCTGAATAATGATGAACTCTGACATTATAGTTTGTCTTTTTAGAGGTCAAAAGTTGAATTAACTTAACTAAGGCCAAGTCAGATCCTTGCACATCTTCATCTAAAATAGCGTACTGAAGAAATAACATTTTTTAATTCTCAGTAATGGTTGTGAGGGTGTCCGTGGAAGTAAGCCTGACTACACTACATCCTGCTTTTAATCCATCACTTATTTTTCTAAGCTGTAGGTTTTAATGGGGTCACTACAGGATTCATAAAGTACTATACGCCACTATTTGACAATTCATTTTCAACATAACACGTTTTTCATCAAAATGAGTACTTAAGTCTTTCAGAGACTAAATCTTTGAACATAGCAGATACGACGGGTAATTAACCCTTTGGACAACTGCGGGCAGCACCATGACCTGACTAATGGCCTGATGAATTTTTAAGCACAGACGAGAGGGATAATGCAGTACTAATCCATTAGAGCTAAGTGTGTGTGTGTGTGTGTGTGTGTGTTTGTTGGAAGTAGATACATGAGCTACTGAAAGGTAGGCTAGAAATAAAGGCACCCTTTCAAAATGAAGTGAAAGCCTCTCTCTTAAGTGGAACAAAACAGGAAATATCAACCTCGATATAATTAATCTGTTGGACTGAGATATGACCAATGCGTGCATTTCACACACTTTCACAATTGCTAAAGATGATGATAATGATCAATATCACAGCACTTGCGTCCCCAGCCCTTCTCTTTAATCCCTTTAAATACAGATGGGAAATGGAATAAACAGTCCCACACTCAAAGTGGAATTTAGCAGTTTGGACAGTAAGCAGATTTAAAAAGCTGTTCAGGCGAGCAGGGTGCGTCTCGGATCATAGAATAGAGGATGCATTTGATCTTTTTATACACATCAGTATGTTGTAGTTGCTGAGATAACCTGCCCTTCCAAGCTGATCTGAGATAAACACTACACTCATACTTATTATAATGATTCAATATGTGGCATAGAGTTAATATCCATATTGATACAAATGAAAGGATTATTTTTGCATGTTACAATTGTTTTTTCTTATATAACAAGAGATGGCGTTTGAACAAAATGCTGAGGGAATGGCTTTTGAACAGAAAATGCTAGATAAATGTCTCTTTGCAGACAATGTCATCATTTCCGGAAGTTTCCGCAATGTTTAAAAAAATGTTTATGTGGATGTTCTGCCATACGGGTCCCTGTATAAGTTGTCAGTATAGAAACTAAAACATATTAGAACACATTCATTAAGATTAACGTTGCATCGTTTGAATTACTGATAGATCTACTGAAAATGAATGAACACCTTCTGAACAATATGGAGATTGGAGAATTGAACAGCATTGTGGTATAATACTGTATGACAGCAAACTAAATATGATACACATGCACAGAAATATATAGCATGGGTACTTTACAAAGAACATAAAAATGCAGCCATACCACTATTTTATTTTATTTTAAAACGTGAGTTGCTACTTCCTGCTATTGATTCTCAGAAATGTTGTACAGTTTGTTGTAACATCTTAAGAACTAACTAGAAAACATTTTAGCCCCAATGCCTAAGGTGTCTATATCCATTATGAAGTCTCTCAGTAGGCTAATATGCAGTAAAACCTTTTAGGCTCAACAGCATGTTATTACTCTTCATAATTAGTGATGTGGTTCTTATTCCATGACAAGGCAGTCATATTGAAATCCATCCATCGATCCATTTTCTATACCACTTATCCTATGCAGGGTCACAGGGGAGCCTGGAGCCTATTCCTCAGAACTCGGGGCACAAGGCGAAGGACGTCATGGACGGGGTGCCAACCCGTCACAGGGCATAATCCCACACCCATACACACACACAATGTCTTTGGACTGGGGGAGGAAACCGGAGAACATGGGGAGACCATGCAAACTCTGCGCTCAAAGGGTAAAGGTGGGATTCGAACCCCCAACACCAACCCCAGGGGTCTGAAACAAATGTACTAACCACTAAGCCACCATGCCCCTATACTGAAATCATACAAATCTAGAACAATGAATCCTGAGCTCGGCTAACCGTCTATGTGTTATTTCACATGTTCTCCACATGTATGTGTGGGTTTCTCCAGGTTCTCTTGTTTCTAAAGCACTAGAACTTGAGTCTGATCTCAAGTCATTTTCTATATATTGACATGTCTCAGTCTTGGACATTGGTCTCAACTGAGAATTTTGTTAAATAAATAAAATTTAAAAATCTTCAAAAAGGATTTGATAGTTTTTAGTCTTGCATTTATTTGGACTCAATCCTAACTTGACCTCGACTGCCCTAAGATTTGATCTCAGTTGAGCTTGATGACGGTAGACTTGCCTACAGCTATCCCGGTTTTCTTAAACCTCCAAAAATATGCCAGTAGGTGATTATACTAAATTGCCCCATGGTGTAATTGTGTATGGTGCTCCACAATCGATTATCATCCCGTCCAGTGTGTATTCCCACCTCTTGTCCTCTCATGTTTGTGATACAGGCTCTAGATCCACCATGACCCTGACTAGGACAAAGAGGTTACTGAAGATGAATGAATGAATGAACATAGAACGAGACTCGAGTAGAAACAAAAATCCTCACAGTGCTAAATTTATACCTACAGAGCTAAGATCCAAATGGATACAAATGAGTCTGAAACTGACAATATCTCTTATTATCCAGTTTTAAGCACACGCGTGTAATCTCCCTCTACATTGTTCTCCTCAGTTGATGTGAGCGGAAGACTATAAGAGCAAAACTCCCTGATGAGGCTCGGCGAGAAAGAGTAATGGGCAACATCAACACACTACAGCAGCTCGAACGAGCAGCTCCACACCTGCTGACACCGATGCATTCTCCCACCTAAATGCAATACAACTATGTGTGAGAAATATGACTGTCCACAGCTATCTGCACACATCGCACTCCTGGCTATGAGTTTATCTTTACACAGTTTGTGTGTATATGTGTGCGTGTGTATGTGTGTGTGTCTACAATAGCCCTGGCGAGTGCTACACATCCGAAACACACACGGAACACGACTCAGTAAATGATGGCTGTGGGCAAACGGGGGCAACTGTAAACTCTGTCTCTGGAGATGACCTAAAGCAGTGGGTGATAGATATGTGTTTTGGCTGGCCTCTGGGAAAAGGAGCATGCTTATTTACACAGAGCACCTCTGGGTGAGGAGTAACACTCACACACACACACACACACACACACACACATACACATACACACTTCTCTCAAGAATACAAAATGTGTAGGTACCTGCAGACACAACTATTTCACAAAGGCAGTACACATATGATGCTAGATATTCTCTCTGACATACACGCACACACGTACAGGGAGAGAGAGAGAGAGAGTGAGAGAGAATTGCACATATACATATGTAATACTATCACTGTTTCATCCTAATCTTATGAGTTATGACCATTAAAAACCAAGACTACATGCTGAAATGACAATTCATCGACAATTGTTTGTCAATGGCCGAAGATAAGTCTGCAGAACCAAGCAACAGTGAAAGCCCTGTTTCATGTCCTACTACTTTCATTTCGCACAATAAATACACTGTACAGGCACCACACTTTTTTTTAATTTGGTCCACAAAAGCAAAAAGATGACGTTGGACAAAATTTGCCTGATGAATTCCAGTTCCATGTTACATCTACACCCTGAGAGTGAAATTTAGTTCACAAACGAGTACAAATCACTGACACCATTTTCTCATCATAATTAGATTCTTTGAAATTTACCACTCACGATTTAACAACATACAAAGCACACTAATAATAGTGTAACATCAGGGCCATCCTTGTATACACTCTATAATTAGCTTTTCATTTAAGCCTGAAAATGAAAAAGGATCCCAAACCTGTCACATGGCTCCACTATGAAATGTGAATATATTACAGTTTATAGCTATTTTACTGCAGAGAAATCTATGATCATATTCATAAGCACCAGCTTCTGTAGTAAAATGAGAACGGTCAATTCCTCAGCATACTGGATAATCCATATAAACCTTCCTTCTTCACTCTAATATCGGTCAGTTGGTATTGACAGCTTTACCTGAGCAGCTTCCCATGGAGGCCTGTATTAAATAAACTCTGCAGTACCTACAGTGCACCATGGGTCGTCAATTGAAGAACAGCAGTCCAGATGTGAACTTCACCCGACGGAGCACTTAAAAAATTATTGTATCAGAGAAGATAAATGTAAAAAAACAAAACAAAAAAAAAAACTGGCTATTGTTTAATAACTTTAATGATTTTTACCATGGCAGCTTGTGTAGAAGATCCTGTGTTGACATTTAACCTAGTATTTATCAAATTATTTAGCTGAAGGAGCGCATCAGAGCAGAAGATAGCTACAGTGCTAGAGACATTACGTCAGAAAGTGGAGAATTTTCACAGACTTTAATAGATTTTCCATTTTATTTACACTCTCTGGTCTGATTCGTGAATTGTCAACATGGCATCCCCCGACGTACCCCCCCATACAACGAAAACAGAATGTCTAAAGATGAATGGACAAAGAAGTATCCCCAGTGTCAAATTAAAAATAGACATTTCATCTGTTCAGAGTCTTTTGCATCTGGCTCTAGTCAAATGTGATCATGTGAAATGGCAAGCCCATGATGAAGTAAAATATAACAACTTTGAATTGATTTATTCTTGGTCATGAACTAATCTTCAGGGTCGCGGGGAACCTGGAGCCTATCCCAGGGGGCATTGGGCACAAGGCAGGGTACACCCTGGACAGGGTGCCAGTCCATCGCATGGCACAATCACACACACACACAGACTCACATTCATACACTACGGACAATTTAGACACGCCAATCAACCTACCATGCATGTCTTTGGACTGGGGGAGGAAGCCGGAGTACCCGGAGGAAACCCCCGCAGCACGGGGAGAACATGCAAACTCTGCACACACAGGGCCCCGACGGGACTCAAACCCCGGACCCTGGAGGTGTGAGGCAAACGTGCTATGAACTAATCAATAATACTTAAAGTCCCCATGAAATCATAATGGAGGTTTTGTGGATTTTATTATGAATATGTTAGCCTAAAGGTTATCTTCAGGATAAGCTAATGTGCTCCAAAAATGTCCAAAATTATTCATTCAGTTAATCATTATATTCATACAGTCTTTCTCTACCACCAATACGGAGCAACAATTTTGATGACATCATTCTGCACTTCAGCTATTCATCAGATTTTCCGTCCAATCAAATGTTCTCTGTGTGTGTCCCGTGTGTCCCGCCCCCTACATGATAAAAAATCCATGGTACTAGCTGTCACGTAGTAATCTTAGGTAAACTAACCGTTATTGGCTTTAAAAGGAGGAAGCGCTACTTGATATATTCCGCCCTGACTTCCTGTTTCAGTGGAAAATACATCAACACATCGAATAATGCTGCACGTTTCAAGGACATTCATTGGGACTTTAAGCGTCAAACGCTAACTGCTGAAATTCATTTTAAAGTATATCTTAGTTGAATTCTGGAAAAAAAGGATTTTCTTTGATGGTTCTTTGGATGGCTAGGGTTCGAAAGAACCGCCTATTCATGATAAACCCCCTGTTTCTGCATAAACCTTTTAAGAGTCAATGTAAAGAACACGTAACAGTTCTAAATGTAACTATTCTAAAGATTGTATTTGCATTATAATTAACATGATCTTACAAAATACATAATGATAATGATAATAATAATAATAATAATAATAATAATAATAATAATAATAATAATAATAATAATAATAATAACGAAGATTCTACTGTACTATAGGAGGTGCTTTTAAAGGACAGTGAAACTCAGTTGGGTGAAAAAATGCCTTCATTTTATCTTCTGGTCAATCATCCATGTGGCATTTGTTTCCCAGCACAACCTCGCTGTCACTCATTTAACCTTTCGACCACTATCTGAATCTGAAATTCTTGACATTCAAGTTTATACAAATGATGCTTTGTGACAGCCAACGAGTCAATTACCACATGTGGCAGTTCTTCATGGCACCAGGGGCCTGTCATTGGTGCAGTCATGCTTATGTGTTTCTAACTCAGGTGACCTGACTGCCTCACCAACTCCGCTCTCCTTCATAAACCACGCCCAGTTTTACCAAACCCACTGCTGTATTGTGATCGACAGAACAATCATACTGTATTTGAAGTGATCACCTTCTTTACCAGATAATGATTATCTTTAAGGATTTGGGAAACTCTTTGCTTGGTCTTTATCAGTGATGTCTGAATGTCTGAGCATAATTATTGAAAAAAATTCAGTTTCTGTTTTTAATTCCATGTATCTGAGAAGCGAGGTTCCTCAAGTGACTATCCTAAGACTGAAGATTGATTCGCTGCAATTACAAACAAATCGAAATGTGATTTATTTGCTCGGGAATCATTTCAATATCAGAGAAAAGTCGCGGCCGCAAGAGACCCCATCAATAAACTACCCACCTCTTTTTCCCCTCATCCTTCCCTTTTTTCTCTCCGTTTCTGTCCATTCCCTACAGAGGCAATCATTCTACAAGATGTCAATACAAGCAGTCGAGCACACACACAAAAAGACCAAGCGATTGAGATATTTTGATTTTCTTTCTCCCCTCCAACCCTACCAACCCCCCATCCCCACCACCACCACCACCATCAACCCTTCCTTTCTCTTTTTTTCGTAGTTAATTAAGTCACCAAGAGGCTGTCAAGGATAATTTTCAAAGCACAGACCCACTCGTGCTTGACATTTGATAATATTGCGCTCCATGCTGATTGAAATTGATTTTGGACGCTCGGTATAGCCGGGGCCTTTTGACAACTCCCAGCCTATAAGCTCAAGGACAAGGGCCCCCACTCGGCACACCAGCTCATGTCCCTGCGAGTGATGGGAGGCTGGGAGAAGTAGGGAGGGGCAGCCAGGGGACCACGAACGCCATCCTGATCAGGGGTCATGGATCTGGCAACCTGCAATATCTAATAAATCAGTAGC